CGATGGGGGAGAGACCTGTATGTAAACGATACAGTTTTCTTCCCCTGTCCGCTCCTGCACACTGCTTTGTATGACTCTGCATAACAGAACCATACAAAGCAATGTGCCTATAGTGTAAACCACACACAGCCCACATAGTAAAACAGCACACAGTTAACCCTTTGATCGACCCTCATGTTAACCTCTTCCTGCCCAGTGCCATTAGCTATTTATTAGCCCTGATCACTGTATTGGTGTCACTGGGGATGTCAGCGACACCAAGTTAGTTCCCCCAGTGTTAGAATGCCTGCTGCAGTCCTGCTATAAGTCGCTGATCACCTCCATTACTAGTGAGAAAAAAAAAATCCAGTATCTATACCTCCATTTGTAAACCCTATTAAGCAATTAATTTACACGTATTCTGGTTTTTTTTTTTTTTTTTTTGTTTTTTTTTTTAGCAAAGACATGTAGCAGAATACATTTGACCTAAATTTATGACAGATTTAAAAAAAATTTTTACTGGACGTGTTTCATAGCAAAAAGTCCAAAATATATGGTACACACAACCGCTCTGCACAGTGTGGGCAGGTGTGAACCTAGACCCCTACTGGAGTCCCTTCGATCTGACTTGGAAATCGTTTTCAGAGTCGGATGGTATTCCGACTTGAGGTGCAATTTGCAAGACCACAGGTGTCAGTGCAAGTCGCACCTAAAGTAGTGCATGCAAGACCACAGGTGTCAGTGCAAGTCGCACCTAAAGTAGTGCATGCAAGACCACAGGTGTCAGTGCAAGTCGCACCTAAAGTAGTGCATGCAAGACCACAGGTGTCAGTGCAAGTCGCACCTATAGTAGTGCATGCAAGACCACAGGTGTCAGTGCAAGTCGCACCTATAGTAGTGCATGCAAGACCACAGGTGTCAGTGCAAGTCGCACCTATAGTAGTGCATGCAAGACCACAGGTGTCAGTGCAAGTCGCACCTATAGTAGTGCATGCAAGACCACAGGTGTCAGTGCAAGTCGCACCTATAGTAGTGCATGCAAGACCACAGGTGTCAGTGCAAGTCGCACCTATAGTAGTGCATGCAAGACCACAGGTGTCAGTGCAAGTCGCACCTAAAATAGTGCATGCAAGACCACAGGTGTCAGTGCAAGTCGCATCCAAAGTAGTGCATGCAAGATCACAGGTGTCAGTGCATGTCGCACCTAAAGTAGTGCATGCAAGACCACAGGTGTCAGTGCAAGTCGCACCCAAAGTAGTGCATGCAAGACCACAGGTGTCAGTGCAAGTCGCACCTAAAGTAGTGCATGCAAGACCACAGGTGTCAGTGCAAGTCGCACCTATAGTAGTGCATGCAAGACCACAGGTGTCAGTGCAAGTCGCACCTAAGTAGTGCATGCACTACTTTAGACATCGGTGCGCTCTGACCAAGTCAGAATCGCACCGCTATGACCGCTGTAATTGCTGACAATAAGGTGCGACTTGCCATGTGATTTGCAAGTTGCACCCGGTGTGACCGGAGTCTTAAAGTAAAAGATGCTTAGGTAGTAGTAAGCCCCTTATACTGACCTGAGCCATCACTTGATCCAGCACTGTTCTCATATGCAGTGGCTGTCATTGACTCTGCTGGGGCAGTGGGAGCCATTGGCTTCCACTGCTGTCAAGTCAAAGCCATTGACGGGGGTGGGGGATCAAGCCTCACCGTCTGTCCATAAAAGCAAGTAGCAGGGCTTGGGAGCAAGTCTGCACAAGTGCCCCCATAGTAAACACTATGGGGGCACTTGTGCTGAGGTTGGGGGCACTCTGTGCAATTCATTTGTACAGAGCAGGTAAGTATAAACCTGTGTTGTCATTTTTAAAATATTAAAAATTTAGTGTTACAATTACCTAATGGAATCCCGAACACCACATGCAGCCGCACATCTTTCACACAAACCTAGTGCAACAATGACCCCCGGTTCACATCTATGTGGCCGTGCGAGCCATGTTTTGCACGGGCATGAGAGCCCATTCATTGGAATGGACTCCCATGCCCGTGACACGCAGGGAAGAAGTCCCTGTACTGCTTTGGAAAACACAGCCCGCACGGGACCCTCGGTTCCCAGTACGGTTGCATTTCCCAGTGTGAGCGGCTTGCCATTAGAACTAATGGCACCCACCCGCGGGTCCGCATTCCTCTGTGTGGGTGGTGCGGCTGCATGGATTTTTGTATGGATCCGCAGCGGCACCACCCGCACAGATGTGAACCTAGGGTCAAGAAGGTGAATGAGCTGCTTTGTTTCACATTTGACAGTCCATTCAGTTCAATGCATGTAATGCGACTGAAGTATAATACTTTTTGGGTTCTGTGTAGAATGGATCCTAATGACCGATTGTTCCATCTTTTGTGTGTACAACGTTTTATTCTTCAACCCATAACACTTGGGCTGCATTCACACACAAAATATCCGTGTCTTACTTGTGCCATTTATTGTCTATGACACCCCAGATACGAGCTTTTCAAATGACAAATGCAAAAAATGCTCAAAAAATGTGCATGAGATACTGAGTGCATGTAGGGCAGCACATTCATTTCAGTGTCTAGCATCACAACACGCATGTGTCAGTAGGGCCCAATAGTTCATGGGAGTGTAGAATGGGTCCTCCTTGTGACAGATTGTTCCTGTGTACAAATTTTCATCCTTTAACCTACAACACAGAACACTTGGCTCTATTCACATCTGCACATTCCAGAGATGGACTCCCGGTCCGTGCGTCGCCCTCCCGGTCCGTGCGTCGCCCTCCCGGTCCGTGCGTCGCCCTCCCGTCCGTGCGTCGCCCTCCCGGTCCAACTAATTGTTAATGCCTCCCCAAACGAGGCCAGCAAGCGTGTGTTTTTGTGCGCAGCTCAACGCCTGAAAATACGCGGGAGCTTCTTTTAATGTGTATAGGGCAGCCCTTTTTTATTCATAGAAATAATTCTGCTACCCATGGTGCTGTGCGACATGAGAATATCCACTGACAGGGACCGATCCCCAATATCCAATTATGCATCAGACAGAGCTATGTGAGATCTATCTGTGTGGTGTACAATTCAGTATTTGGGAACAGTCCCGGAGAGAGCAGGCAGACTTTTTTTTTTCTTTCTATGATTGAATAAAAAGTCATGCGTATAATAAGGAATATAAATCTTTTCATCATATTCTAGTGCTGTCATTCCTGTATGTAAGGCAGTTGTAGTTTCAGTGGACATGTTGGAGAACACATTTTTTTATAATGTTTAGCGAACGTTAAAACATGTTACACCAACGATACAAGAATACAAGTGATAGCAGATGTGTAATGTTGGCTGGGTCACATAGCAAACATAGTTCTGTCTGAAGCACAGTTCACTATTGGATAGCGTACTCAGAGGGCGCAGGCTAATCCTAGCAGCATCTTTTAATAAAATAACATTTCACCTGTAGAATATAAAAAATTGTATTCTACATACACAGTTTCTTTAACCACTTTCACCGGACGCTTTCACCCCCTTCCTGTCCAGGCCAATTTTCAGCGCTGTCACTCTTTGAATGACAATTGCGTGGTCATGCAACACTAACCATATGAATTTTTTAGCAATTTTTGAGACCGATAAAACTTTTTTGCTATTTATTCATTCAACAATGGGATTTTTTATTTTTTTTGCTGTATAAATGAAAAAGTCCAAAAATTTTGAAAAAAAGTGTTTTCCTTATATAATTTTGCAAATAAATAATCTTTCTTCATAAATCTTGGCCAAAATGTATTCAGTTATCTTTTTTTAAAAAAAAAAAAGAAAGGTACTTGTCCACCGGATTTATATATATATATATTTAAATAAAACATATATTAAAAAAAAAATTATATATATATAAATCTGGTGAATTAACGGACAAGTACCAAAAAAATCCCAAATTTATAATAAATTATAATTTTTCTAAAAAAAATTTACATTTTGATTTTTTTTTTTTTTATACTATTTTTTTTTTTTTCTAACATACTGTCACCCTAGCAGTACAGTTCATCACTACTTGTGGGGGGTGATGACTTTTTTTTTTTTTTTTTTACACCCATAAAAGATGGAAAAGCAATCATTTCTCCTTCTCTCTTACTGCATTCCTGAGAAATGCTGTGAGAGCTGTGATTGGTCACAGCTTTGTCACAAGGTACAAGGTTTTTTTTGAATAGCTTTGTACCATGTGACCTCTGTGATCATTCACAGATTTCACACGTAGTAAGCAATGATGTCAGAAGTGACATCTTGCTTACTACTATTCATGTGATCACTGATTGGCCAATCAGTGATCACATGATCGGGACTTCACACAGAGATCCCGTACAGCAATTGGTGTTCCGCCGTGTCCTCCGGACACAGCGGGCACCGGATCGCGGTGCCACGTGCTCCCAGGGAGAGCGTGCACAGGCTGAAAATGCGTGCGCCGCTTATGAACGGCAACCCTCCCCTGCACTGCCCCGTCTGGCCGTTTATGTACATGGGCTGGACGTGGTTAATATACAATTATGCATCTCAAGTGCAGAATATGGCAAAAAAGAAAATACATTTGTGCACGTTAACTGCAGAATATGAACTATATTTTTATATTTATTTAAAATAATCATGCACCTCAGCTGAATATGAACTGGAAGCATGATTCGTAGAGAGGGGTTTGTAAAATTTAAATATCCGTCTGTTGGAGAACATAATGCTCAGCTATCATTGTAAACACGTTTTATAAAACTGATGTCTGATGTTGGCATAGCAGACCCGGTCTTATCTGATGTGATGTTGGATAGTGGTCCAACATGGCGGCGTTTGTTCATAGTGGTATATTTTTGACTTCACTTACAATGATATACCTCATCTACATAAGATAGAATATATCAATATCATTTTCTGTATTTTGCTGTATAGCTGAGCATGCAGTTTTGTGGTTTCATCCTGAAACAATCAACCTGTCGGCACGAGAGCTCCAAATTATATATTGGTGAAGATACAGCTGTACGAGAGCGCGCCCTCTGGTCACCTAGTGCTGTGATTAACCACTTCCCGTCCGGCCCATGTACATAAACGGCCGGACAGGAGCAGTGCAGGAGCGGGTTGTCGTTCATAAACGGCGCCCGCATTTTCAGCCTGTGCGTGCCCCCTTGTACACAGATCGCTGTATGGGACCTCCTGTGTGAGGTCCAGATCATGTGATCACTGATTGGCCAATCAGTGATCATGTGATCACTGATTGGCCAATCAGTGATCACATGAACAGTAGTAAGCAAGATGTTACTTCTGACATCATTCCTTACTACTTGTGAAGTCTGTGAATGATCACAGAGATCCCATGGTACAAGGCTATTCACAACAGCCTTGTACCATGTGACAAGCTGTGACCAATCACAGCTCTCACGGTATTTCTCAATGGCTGCAAGAATGCAAAGAGAAGGAGAAATTATTGCTGTTACAGCCTTTGAGTGTAGAAAAGAAAAAAAAAAATCATCACACTCCACAAGTAGTACAGTGTCACTATGGTGACAATGTACTGCTAGGGTGACAGTATGTTAAAAAAAAACATAAATAATTAAATTAAAAATGTAAAAAATTGTTTTTTAAAAATTATAACTAATTTGGGTTATTTTTTTTTACCAAATAGATAATGAATACATTTTGGGCAAGATTTATGAAGAAAGATTATTTGCAACATTTTATAAGAAACTTTTTTCAAAATTTTTAGACTTTTTAATTTATTTAGAAAAAAAATTAAAATCCAAGTGGTGAATAAATACCACCAAAATAGTTTTATCTGTCTCCCAAAAAAAAAAATGCTAAAAAATTCATATGGGTACAGTGTTGCATGACCGTGCAATTGTCATTCAAAGTGTGATAGCTCTGAAAGGTGATAATTGGTCTGGGCAGGAAGGGGGTGAAAGTGTCCGGACTGGAAGTGGTTAAGTTGATCACAATTCACATTTTTATAGGGTTTCTTTAGCACAGGCCACACCCACATTACCCATCATTACTTATCAGTTTACCAACACCTGTATGTATAGTGCACCAAAAGCAACACGTGTTTAAGAAAATAGAAATTATTCAGAAGAAATTTTAGCTGCTTATTACAAATAGAAAAATGCAATTTATATTAAATGTTCTATATATCAACTTATAATTGTGTATATGTATAATAATAATAATAGCCACTACTAGTATAATGGATTTTACTCCAAGACACTCATGTACTTATATAATTCAACACGTCTGTTACTTTTATTTCATTAAGATGTACTGTGATGATGGAGGAGATAGTAAGGATCACATTTATCCCTATACATAGGCAGGCCATAGACGGACCGTTTATCGGCTGAATGTTCGGCTGATAAACAAAATACCGGTTGGCCCCGTTGCCGGTGCTGCCACCCATGTCCACGGAAAACGGCCTTTTTTCACGGATTTTCCAGCATGACCGATAAAACTTAACGAGAAGATCTGCAAAAAACCGGCCGAGGGGCTGGCCCCACTAACGGTGTGAATATCGACCCATTTTTCGTGCGGATGAAAACTCGTCTGATAAACGACCCGTCTATGGCCTTGAATGGTTTTCATGCAGCCACCCCCCCCCCCTAATAAATACACAGCAAAAGCAATTAGAATGTTAAAACAAAAACGGTTCCTGTAGACCCCGGGGACGACACTAGCCCTTACCTGGGATTCTGTGATTGGGTCGCCCTCACCACGATGAACGTACCTGAAAGCTGGGTGTAAGCTAGGTATTTTTATACATTTTTTTTTCCTTCCAAAGTTTTTTGTTGCTTTCTCGGAGTGTTTTTTTTTTTCCTGTACCATAAGTGAATTTTGTATTTTAGTGCAAGGTCCAGTCTAATATAAAATCGTACAGTTCCCTTAGGTCAGTCTAAAAATAAAATGGATTTTTATATAGTAGTAATCTCAAAATGTACAGTGCTTTGTATAGTTTGAAGCTTGAACGTGTGTGTGTTTGTGTGTGTATTGTGGTTGTGTTTTTTTTTTTTTTAAATTTTAAACCTTTTCTTCTTTTTAAGGGTTTTCATTGAAAAAAAAAAAAAAAAGCATGGTAGGCATGCCTATAGGAAAAATCATGCAATGCCTGAGATATGTTTAAAAAGGTATCTTCCATTTTGCTTGAGGTGATTGTAGCTGTATTAGTGTACTTGCAACAGAAACAATTGAGTACTGACGTGATACTTTTTTTATTTGCACTAACATACAATTTTAAGAACAAGCTTTGGGGATATGTCCCCTTCTTCAAGGTCTGCCTGGTCCTTGAAGAAGGGGCCATACCCCAAAAGCTTGTCATCAAAATTGTATGTTAGTGCAAACAAAAAAAGGATCACGTCAGTACTCAATTGTTTCTTTAAAAAGGTAGAATGTTAGATGCATCCCCAGGCCAGCAGACATATATTTTTTTATTCTGTTTAATGGTAATGCATGTTGCACACTAGCTATGCAATTGTTCATTCCAAACGTAAGCGAAAATGCATTGCAGACAGTTTAATTTGTTCCATGAGGGAGCCGAGTTTTACTGTGGAAATTTGTATAAATGGTATGTTTGTGAGACACATTATACACAGCGGTTTCAAAAGGTAAGTTGGGTTGCATAGTTTGATTGGAAGAGCAGCAGAGGACACCGTGGTTGCATTGTACTTTGTCTAGCATGTTTGTGCCACGGAGAAGCATGCTGCATGTTGGCAGTTTTTAAAATGCAAGTTAGCTTGCATTGTTTGATATGGCTTTGCTGGGGAACATAATATGTTTGACAGTACTTTGTGTGTGTTGTTTGTGTGTGTTGTTTGTGTGTGTTGTTTGTGTGTGTTGTTTGTGTGTGTTGTTTGTGTGTGTTTGTTTGTGTGTGTTGTTTGTGTGTGTTGTTTGTGTGTGTTGTTTGTGTGTGTTGTTTGTGTGTGTGTTGTTTGTGTGTGTTGTTTGTGTGTGTTGTTTGTGTGTGTTGTTTGTGTGTGTTGTTTTTGTGTGTGTTGTTTGTGTGTGTTGTTTTGTGTGTGTGTTTTGTTGTTTGTGTGTGTGTGTGTTTGTTGTTTGTGTGTGTGTGTGTTTGTTGTTTGTGTGTGTGTGTGTGTGTTGTTGTTTGTGTGTGTGTGTGTTGTTTGCGCGTGTGTGTGTTTGCGTGTGTGTGTTTGTTGTTTGTGCGTGTGTGATTTGTACAACTTCATAACATGCAAGTGTTTTGCATGTTTGCGTTTTGAGACTGACCATCACTTAAACAAGTACAACGTGAAGTCTCCTTTGATCCATGTAAAAGTGGGACATGGATCTATCTCTGCCTGCGTGTATAATATATATTCATAGTATAAGTAGACCTAGCACAGTTGTATAGATGAACAAGATAAGTTCCATGGCAGTGATGTCATTTGTGTATGTTATCAATCTGAGTGTACATTTATCTGCTTTAGGTGGCTTCACTAATATTTTGGGCCGTATGTGTACCTTTATTATAAATCCTTGTTGTCCATTAGCTTCTTAGGTGCTGGTGATGCTAAACTCCAACTTGGAGTTTAGCATCACCAAATGGGCAAAAATTGGGCAGAAATTGAACAGAAAATTGTATTGTGTATGGCCAGCCATAGGCTGGCCATACACAGACAATTTTCTACCAAATTTCTGTCCAATTTCCTTTAGATTTACCTTCAGCCATGTAGTGCAAGGGCGCGTCTAATTGGATACAATTGACAGTGTTGTTAAGGTTGACCTCCTATTATATGGTTTTTGGTAAAACAAAAGAAAAATTCTCAAGAAAATTCTATAATGTATGGCCAGCCATAGAATGCATTTTGCTACCTTTTTGTATATGTAGGGCAGGGGTGGGCAACTGTGGCCCTCCAGCTGTTGTAGAACTACAAGTCCCATGAGGCATTGCAAAAAAACTGACCGTTACAAGCATGACTCCCAAAGGCAGAGGGCATGATGGGACTTGTAGTTCACCAACAGTTGCCCACCCCTGATGTAGGGGATAGTAAACTAGGGAAGCATCCTCCTCTCCTGTAGCCGTCCTGCTGTACGGATGAATGTTTAGTGTTGTAATCGAGTCCACGCTGAAGGATTTGCATGCAGCAGCCTCCATGTAACCAGCAACGGCCCAGGGTTAGAAAAGCAGTCCGTTTTGGAGATGTAGCCGATCGGGCTGCAGGAGTGCTGGCACAGGCATCGGGATACATTGACACGCTGTCATACTATCGCAAGGCATTGTCCAGCAAGAGCACTGAAAGTGGTAGGGATGCAAATAGACAGTTTGGATGTGTGAAGACAGATCGGGAAGTGAAATGGCTGCTCAGGCAGGCTGGACAGTCACTTCACAAAGCAATGGAATAGGGGAACACACAATGCACGCGCAGTAACAATAGCAAGCGGGGCATTGGATTTGAGCTGGAGTGGAAGTGTGCTGTAAAGTGAGGCATTTGTTTCCACCAATAGGTGATCTATACAATAGAATCGGTGTCAAGCAGCATGCAGTGTTCACTGGAAGAGCATTGTTTTAGGAGGTGGGGACAACACAGGTGGGGTGTGCAGAACATTTTGCTATGCGGTGATAGAAATATATAGAGCAGCGATAGTGTACATGTAACAGTGAGATTTCAAAAGAGCCCCATAGGCATGTATTGGGATAAAAATAAAAAAAAAATTGTTTTGTTTTTTTTTTGTTTTTTTTTTTTAATTTTTTTTATGATGGCGCTAAATGGTCGCCATCATGTGACGTTCTTCTCAATAAAACAAGCAGGTATCAAAGAATGCCTGTCATGCGAGTGGCTGGTGGAATCCAGTTCCCAATTCAGACATTTTAGTAAGTGAGGACTGGTGTAGAGATATATGCAGCAAAAATGGCTTGTAGTAGCTTCATTCTCAATTAGGATTTACTAACTTGAGGTCCTGTTTCTGACATTTTGTGGGAATTTACATTGCATCCTTCTATTGCATGCCAGTCTTGCACAGATTTGTAAGGTGCTATGAAAACCGCACTTTTATTTATTTATTTTTTTTTAATTAATTTTTTTTACTTTTTTTTTTTTGTGTGTTTAATTTTTTTTTTTATGATGGCGCTAAATGGTCGCCATCATGTGACATTCTTCTCAATAAAACAAGCAGGTATCAAAGAATGCTTGTCGTGCGAGTGTCTGGTGGAATCCAGTTCCCAATTCAGACATTTTAGTAAGTTAGGACTGGTGTAGAAATAGATATGCAGCAAAAATGGCTTGCAGTAGCTTCATTCTCAATTAGGATTTACTAACTTGAGGTCCTGTTTCTGACTTTTTGTGGGGATTTGTATTGCATCCTTCTATTGCATGCCAGTCGTGCACAGATTTGTAAGGTG